CATCCGCCTCCGTCTCCTCCCCTTACACTTACTCTTGACCTGGATGAACTACTCAAGCCTCCCCAGTCCCTTCCACGCACCCACGCTTCTGGACAAGCCATGCCCCGGGCCTGAAGCCTCTCCCCTCCTGTGCTCTCCAAATCCTACTCACTCTTCTCAGCCCAGCCTAAAGGCCTCCTCCTCAGGGAAGCCTTCCTGACTTAGAGTGAGTGATGTCTCCTTTGCATTCTTCTGCTGTACGTTGCAACGGCCTGGTTCTTTGCCCAACTCCCAGGCTGATCTGTGAGCTCTGGAAGGGCAAGGACTCACTTGCACATGGCACCGCCCAGGCCCAGCACAGTGCCTCGCACAGCGATGGCATGCATGCCCTCACCACCTGGTCAATGAAAGAAGGGCCAAATCACACCCAGACTGTGGTCCAGGCCTCCCCAGCAGAGCCAACACAGTCTGGGGCCACCACCAGCAAGGTGGCTGCATTGTGTGAACACTGGCCTTTTCAACAGACACAAATCTGCAATAGGAAACAGGCTTTTTTAAAAAAACAACAGCACAATTTTCTTTTCTCTTTCTGCACAGCTTGTTTTTCCAGCACAGCTCCAGGGTCAGCTGTCGGGAAGCCCCTCCCAGGCCCCACTCTGAGAACATGGGGCTCTGTGGCCTCCAAGGACTCGCAGCCTCCAGCAGGAGGTAGAGAGGCACCAGACAGTTTTACATCAGCCCGGGCACCAGGGCCCCTAGCCACCTCTGAGCCAAGAACCCCATGCTCAAACCCCAATGTTAGGTAGGTGTTACCCCACTGGAGGCCTGCTCTCCCCTGAGGGCTTTATAACCCCACATGGTGCTTCCAAAGGGGCTTCTCCCCAGGGGGCTTGGGGTTCTCTGCCCTCACTCCAAGAGGGCATACTAAGGATGTGGCCTCAGACTGCTAGGGTTCTAACCCTGGCCACACCATTAACCCTGGGTCCTTTACCTCATCTTTTGGAGACTCATAGTCTCTCAATCTGTGAAACAGAAGTACTATTTAGCTTGTGGAGCTGTTTTCAGCACAGGGTATGTGACATGCTTAGACCCACACCTGGCACACAATAAGCCCTCAAAAAACATTAGCTGCCATCATCATCATCATCTTTTTCTTATTCCTCTTTATCTTCCCCAGATCGCCCGCTCTGCAGCCCCTTCACTGAATCATATACTGTCTAGATCAGCAGGGACCTCAAGGGAATGTTGACTCTCATCCTCCTGCTTTCCTGGAATATCCTCTGCTACATCCCTAGCACACAGTCCTCCTGGCCATAAACACCTGTAAGGATTGGAACGTGTCAGCTGTCCTCTACAAGCCAGTCATTTTGCCAGCTATGCCTAACACCTCCATCCAGCTAAACCCACCAGCCCATTGCTCAGGGAAGCGGCGTTCACTCATCCTGTCCCCAGTCCCCAGCACACACTGAGCTCTCTATCCACGCTCAAGGATTCAGCAGAAGGTGTTTGGTGAGCAACTCTCAAGTACAAACCCACCAGCACACTAAAGCCAACCCTGTCAGAGCTTAGAGTCTGATGGAAGAGCAAGGCTACAACCAGATCACTACACCAATAAGCGGAAAGTTGCTATGGATGTGAGTGCTCCAAAGGAGAGGTAGGTGGGCCAAGAGAGCTATAAAGAGGGTGTTCAGCCTAATCGGGGAGGGCTTCCCTGAAGAGGGGATGTGAAGACAGGGGAGGAAGGATGAGGAGGCCTCATCAGGAGGAGGGTGGAATGGAAGGTCAGGGCAGAAGGAACAGCATGAGGAAGCCCCATGTTAGGCAGAACATATGACAAATGGGAGGCACAAAAGACGGTGTTCCCACAGAGACTGGAGGGCAACTGGATTTCTGTCATTCTCCTAGCAGCCGTGGAAGTCTCTGAAGGTCTTTCAGGCAGGGGGTTATAAGCTCAGATATGCATGTCGAAGAGATCACCCTGGCTGCTTTCCAAGTCAGGGTCCTCTCTCTGTGTATTAACTGCACATGCACTACTTGTCTCTGCCTAAAATGCCTCTCTAGTCCCTGTATCAGTCAGCACAGGCTAAGTTATGCTGCAGTAACAAACAGCCCCAACAGCTCACTGTTTGTTTAAAACAACAAAGGTTTAGTTATCCCTCATGTTGCATGTTCATCATGGGTCACCAAGGGCTTCACACATGGAGTGACTCAGGGATTCAGGCTGGCAGCGGCCACCCTCATCCCACGTTCCTACCAGTTGCCATGTCACAGGGAAAGTGCACTGTGGAAGGTCTAACCAGCAATTAAATGCTGCAGCCCAGAAGTGACATGTATCGCTGTCATTTATAACTCAGCAGCCAGTCACAGGGCCCCCCACCCAAGTGCAGGTAGAGCTCTAGTCAACCTACTGTGGACCTGGAAGAACCGGAAATAGTAAGAGGAAAGCATTAAGGACCCCAGACACTCCCATCCCACTGTGCCCTTCGCTAACCTTAATTCATTCATTAGATGACAACAGCTTCAGGATTTGAGGAGGAAAGTCCAGGCTGTGTAGGACAGATCAGTATGGTGTTCAGAGAGACCTAGGAGACGGTAGAGGATGAGGTCAAGGGGAGGGGCCAGATCACTCAGAAGCTTTTAGATCACTGCACTAATTTGGTTCTTTATCTTCCACACACTGGAAAGACTTCTAGGTGTTTCAAGCAGGAAATGGGATCCCTGACATGATCCGATTTGGAACAGATCACTCTGACTGCCAAGAAGGGGAGGTTGCAGGTGTACATCAGCAGGCTCCTGCTGTTGTCCTGGGGAGAGACGGTGATGGCCTGACTACCACGTTGGGGAAGAGGGAATGGAGAGAAGTGGATGGGTTCATTTGAGAGGATAAAGTTATCTGGGCCTGGAGATGGAGCAGATTGGGATGAGAGAGACAGGCAGAGACACCAACGCTTCTGCCTTAAAGAGTAGTGGGACAGTGTGCTCTTGCCCGAGATCAGAGCCCTAGAAGAGGTTTAGAGAGGAAGGTTACGGACAGCTCTGGCCCCTGTGTGTTTGTCATGCTTATAAGATAGCCAAGAGACCGGGCTAAGGAGGCATCTGAAGCCACAGGTAGGACTCCTGACTCCTGGTCCAGTGCTCTTTACTTCATACTTGACAATAACCTGGAACCAGGGAAACTCCTTTTAAGTCCAGGAGAGGGCAGATCCAAATAAAAGAAATCCTACTTGACACCAAGGAGAACAAATTGATGGAACACATCAACCCAGGAAGTCTAGACGACAGAATTGTAACTCAGGTCAAATGAGTCTGCAAGTGCAGAGGTGATGGCTATTTTGACCCATCTAGGACTCCAGGGACAAGTGAGGGGAGTCCTTCATCTCAGGAAACGAGACCCTGCCACCAGCTGTTCCTTGGGGGCCCTGTCAGTTTGAGACTGGTTGGACCACACTGGGGTCTGCGGGGAAATTGATAGCCCTAGGACAGTATATTCTGCAGGGATTCTGGGGCGGGGGTGGGGGGGAAACACTTCTTAAACAGTATGCCAGGCCCTAGAATAGGCATTTCACCTTCGCTATCTCATTTAATTTCACAACTGCCTTGCCCTTCAGGTTTTATTGGGCTTATGTTAGGGATGGAGACACAAGGCTCAGAAAGGCCAAAGACAACGATGTGAAGTCCAAAGTCACACAGCGACCATACCGGGGAGGTAGAATTCAGAGAGAAACCCTTTCCATGAGACTGAATACAGCAAGAGGCTAGGGCTCTACTCCCAAAAGGGCAGGCTTCCAGACATGCCAAACAGATCTCTGCTTGTCCACCTTTCAGAGAATCTGCTCCCCAACCATGACCCCACACCCCACACAATGACCCTAGGAAAGCCCCAACCTTCCTTCCTCTCAAGGGGAAACGTGGGCAAAGACCAGCTTGGGTGCTACAGGCATCACGCTCCACGGAAAATTCTTCTCTCCCCAAACCCCCAAAGTTTACAGGGTTTTCAGGTACCAAGAGCAATCTCTCATTATTGCATCCTGGCTCACGCACAAAGAGCTGGGTGTGTTTCCCTGCAACCACTCCAAATTATATAGCACAGCCTTTCTCCACACGAAGCAAGCATCTAGGGAAAAGGAGAGGTTTCAGATTTTTCTCTCCTAAATCCCAGCCCAGCCTGGGCGGGGGGTCTAAGCCCCCATCTCTCAACTGGGCTCTGGACACACACCAGAACTTTACACCAGCATCGCCCAAGACATTGGTATTCTCTTTGCAGCGACTCGCCTAGGGCACGCTGGCCTTGACCGGAGCGAGGTCATTGGCCGCTAAGTTTCTGCAGTTTCTGCATAGGCGAGTACCTTGGGGACTGCGAGTGGGGGGTGGAGGCTAAGCTCCGGAGAGGGTTCCCGAAGAGTCTACACCGCAACTAACACTTGAAACGCATTCCAGAAACGCCCTCCGGCTCGGCCACGCTTCGCGATGGAGAAGGCTTCCTGGCATCCCGAAGGACGCCTCCCACCTTCATCCCCGAGCCCCCCGCAGCAGCCCCCGGCGCGGGGCCGAGGGCGTCCGCGAGAACTAGGCCGGCGGCCGCGGCGAGCCCTCGGGCGCCCGCGCCCCGCCCCGCCCGTGTCACCGCGTTCTCATTCCGAACGCCCGGCCCGGGCCGCCGCTCCCATTGGTCGGCAGCCACGTCCGTCAGCGGGCGCGCCGCTCGCGGAGAGAAAAGGCTACAATGTAACAAGGCGAGGAGCGAGCGAGCGGGGAGGAAGGAGGCGGAGGGCGGCCCCCGGCTCCCGCGGCGGCGGCAGCTACCTGCCGAGGGTTCGCCCACCTCGGGGCCCCGGCGGGCCGGCCCCCGCCCCGCGCCCGCGCCGCCCGGACCCCCGCTCCGCGCCGAGGCCCCCGGCCGCCCGCGCCCCCCGCCGCCGCTCCCGGCCCCCGCACCGGCGGCCCCCACGCTCGCTGGCAAACTGCCGAGCGCTCTCCGAAGCCATTTTCAATGGCCACATTGGCTACCGGGGCTGACTCACCTTCCCGGGAATGCTGCGGCAGCCGCGGGGCCCGGGCGGCGCGGGCGGCCCGGCGGGCGGCTCGGCGGAGGCGGCGCGGCCCCGGCTGGCGGCCCCCGCGGCGGGAGCGGCCGCGCTGCGGGCGCGCTGGTCCCCGGCGAGGCAAAGTTTCAGCGCCAGCCTCGGCGCGGCGGCGGCGGCGACTCGCTGCTGCTCTCCTCCCCTGCTTTGACCACCATCTTATTAGTACAGGAAATGACATGGAAAACGGAAGAAAGCGGCGTTTGGGGCAGACGCGGACCCCCCAATTCAGGGGCCGGAGCCGGGACTCACCAGCCGCGTCCCGACCCGGCCCCGGAGAAAACTCCCGGGGCTCCTTCGGCCCGCGCCCTGCCCGGAGGGGGAAACCCGGCTCCCCAAACCCAAAGGGAGAGGGAGCGTTTTATAATCCAGCCCGCGGAGAAATCGAGAAAAAAATAGATGATAAAAAGAAAAGGTTAAGAGAACTTTGGAACTGGGAACTGGGATACTTTTTTGGGGTCGGAAGTAAAAGTTCTCAAATTAAAAAAAAAAGTCACTGCGAGGGGGGCTCCCTGGCTCTCCCGGTCCCTTGGCAGTCCATTTGGAACCAAATAGTCGGGGGGAGTCGACGCGTTTGGATTTTTAACCCTTTCGGGGCTCCGCAGCTGGCCCCCTCCCAGTCCTGTTTAACCCTTTGAATGCACAGCAGTTTGGAGATAAAAATTGAAGTTGCAAAACGTAGGCGTCCTGCCAAGGCTAAGGGTGAGGGGCTTGGGGTTCGTTAAAAATATTAACTCTTTACCTGGAGCTGCGGTTTTGAAGTCGCGAACCGCACATGTTCTTCAAATCGAGATACGTTACAGAGGGAGAGACGTTCTGAGAACTGGGGGGGACGGACCTTGGCCGGCTTGGAAAAGATGTCCAAGCTGCATTCACTAGCTCGATTCCTCAGTTTCTTCATCTGTGAAATGGGATTCGATGTAACAGAGAAGAGGTGATGAGGGAAAGACGGGGTCGGGGGTGGGATTGTCACAGTGCTTAAGAGCTTGACATGCTTTCCAGGGCGCCAGGAAAACGGACAGGTTGTGATGGGGCTGGAAGCCTTGGAGCAAGGCAAGGGACACTGCGGGGCGGCGTAACCGCGACAACCATTCCCCAATCAACCCTTTTCTCGTGGCGTCCTCTACAAGTCCTGTGGCCCAATGGCGGTGTCTCTCTCCTACCAAGGGAGGATGAGCTGTGTAGGCTCTAAAGCTGGGGCAGAAACCCCAGTTGGTGGTTCCCAGGAAGGCGCCTGGGCGAGGCGCTGTCCAGTGAGAGGCTGTCCCTCCCCCACACGTCCACGAATCCCTGCAAGAGTTGCTCAGACGCCCCCCACCCCCACCAACGAGGGTACTACCCCAGGGAAGCCTCCTCCCAAGGCAGGTAGAGTTCCCTGTCAACCCTGCTGCTGGCGATCCTCAGATGGGCATCCATGCTCAGACCTCTGGGCCTGCTCATGGCTTTTGGAATCTGGATGTGGAGCTGGAGGCGGTGGGGATGAGGAGGGAGGGAACACTGTAGGTACCACATCGTCTGTTTCCCTTGACTCTGGCATCATAAACGCAGCTTCTTGGAATCTCATGCCTGTTATTGGTTGTGTGATCTTGAGCAAGTGGTTTCACCTGAGCCTTTATTTCCTGCATCTGCAAAGTGGTGCACAGTAATACCCACGTTCCTGACTCTGCATAAGGAGCCACCGGAGTGTATTTAAAGGGCCCGGAACCCAGCTGCTCACAGTAGATGCTCAAGAGAGAATAACCGCGCTAACATTATATGAGGTTCAGTGCAACGGTACCATTCCTGAGTATCTCTTGCTTGATGCCAGGCAGAGTATTGGGTACTGAGGGTACCAGGGGGGTTCCACGATTAGAATGACAAGATCCTTCAAGGAGGTCTTGGTCTGCCCAGGAGATGAAGGCACTCGCAGATAATTTGAATTAATTCAGAACCGAATGCACCTCCAGCTGCGCTGAGCATCGTTTTGGATGCCACGTGCCGGGCTGGGAGAAGGGGCACTGAGGAAGGAGCCATTATTGTTACTTCTTAGGAGAAAGGTTCACCAAGGGAGTGATGTCAGAGGCAAGCCTGGAATTTCCACCAGTGGTAGGATGGCATTGCCAGGAAGGCAAACAGCTGGCACAAAGACCGCGAGGCTTCAACGTGGCCGGGGTATTGGACAGGTGTCCTGCAGTGACTGGGGCAGAGGGTGAGGCAGAGATACTAGAGATGAGGGCAGAAAGAGAAGTGGATAAAGAAGGGGTGTGGTCCCCGCCTCCAGAGAGCAAAAAGATCTTTAAGAGAATGACAAGTTGGAAGTGAGGTAAGGAGGGTATTTCTTTGGTGCTGGTTTTCTATTTAAATCTCCCCATCCATTTGGCCCAGTCTGGCTTCCTTTGCCAGGAGCCATGGGTCCTCAGCTGCATCTGTAGGGTGCGATTGGGTCCTTGGGCATGACAGGCTGGGGTGTCAGCACTTCATGTGTCACACTGGGACTTCCATAGGGGCTGTGGGGAGCAGAGACATGCAATATGATCCAGAGACCCAGGTCTGGGTCCCAGCCTGCCGCCTGAAGCATGTGACTTGTCCTCTGGGGGGCCAGTGTTTTCCTGCATGACATGAGGAGTTGGGACCACAGGTTCTATATTTTGCCCTCAAGAAGCTGCCCCTGTAGCTACACAGTCAAGGCCAAGGTACAGGAAGGAATCAGGAACAAGCCTGGGGGAATTGCTGGAGCCATCTCAGAAGGGAAATCCCAGGCAGTCGGAGGGTTGACACACATGCTCTGGGTCAATGTGGGCAGAATGGGATCACCACAGGCAAGCAGTCTAGACAGAGCAAGTTTTGTGAGGCGGTGCCTCAGTTTCCCTCTGTGGGCTGAATTGAGCCTGAAACTCAGAAGTAGGAGTGAGATGAGAGCTCCACCGGCATTTCCTGAGAACGCAGGGGAAGGGGAAGGGGAAGAGGACTGAAGTGAACAGGGCATACGGCACACACCTTCTGGGGTATTACCATCTAGCCTCTCAATCATCCAAGATGGATGTCATCATCACCATTTTTTGCAGGCAGAGAAACCATGTTCAAAGAGGTTAAGAAACTTGCCCACGGTCACACAGCTAGTTTGAGGTAGGGTGAGATTCAAACCTAGGTCTGTCTGACTCCATTGCTCAGTGTCATCTGCTCTTGGTCATTTCTGCTTCATTGCCCTTTTCTGTAATGCAGCTTTTCAGCCTAATGAGTGGTGAGATATTTTCTTAATTTCTCCCTTGAGTGTATCTCACAAAAAGGAGCTGACCAGAACGTTGTGATCCAGGGCTAGGTACATTATGACCTCTTCTTGCAAAAAAATGTACTAACAATCCCAGTCACCTCCAGGTCCCTGTGAAGGCTACTGAAATCCTGTAAGTGAATAGAGTTCACTTCTTTAGAAGGAAAAGTCCACCTGAGGCCTTCTCCCCATCCCCTACTACTAATAATGACACCAAGCAAAACATACTTCCGGTTAGCTCCAAGGCAAATGCCCCCTGGATCCTAGAAGGAAGAATCACTGGAGATTCACCGCCACATTCGTTGTAAAACAAGGACATTGTTCATTGCATTAATGACCTTTCCTAAAACCGCTAGGGAAAAATTTCAGTGAGGATTTAGTGCCTGGAAAAAACTAAAACTGAAACACACTGCATCTTCCCCCAAGGAACTGTCAAGCATCTTCCTTGCTAATAAGAAGAGCTCCATAACTGATCAGCCTTCCCTTCTTGCACAGGCTGCCAGGAAGCTCAGAGCCAAATTCCACCTTCACAGCTTTGGCAGTTGCATCCTTCTTATTACTGCTTTACCACTTCTAATCCTACTGGCTCGGCCTTGTTTTCTCTGCCTTTTGTTAAAGATATTGCCCTTTTTAATGGTAAAAAATAAATGCTTTAAATAAATCCACATTTGGAAGAGCTGCTGAAGGGACCTGGATTCCACAGGCCTTATGTTAAGCCAGGCACAGTCCTGTTCTGGTCTCGTCCACTCGCCCAACAGCTGAGGGATCCCTCTCTTGGAAAGAAGGAGGGGCTGGCTTAAGACCAAGGAATTGCTCATCCAGCTGCTGACAGTGACTAAGATCAAAATGCCTTGGGTCAGATCATTGTTGCCATTTTTCATTCTACTGAGAAGCAGCTTGCCTTGCTCCTGCCAGCTCCCTGGGAGGCCCAAACCACTATCCTCTACCTGTGCTCCAGAAAATTTCCCCCATTAGTCCCTCCTGTTGAGGCATGGCAAGGTGAGGAGGCATGGGGATAGTGGTGTGGGAGTGAGGGAACAGTCCTAGATGATGAGGACAGGGAAGGCATCCCTGAGGAGGTGGCATTTCAGTGGGGGCCTTGCTAGATAAAAAGGAGCCAGCCCCACCAAGGGTTGAGTAGCAGAACTCCTGAGCAGGGGACACAGCCAGTGCAAAGGCCCTGAGCAGGATGGAATTGGCTTGTTCTAAGAAGTGGCAGAAAGCAAGTGTGCCCAGGGTGCAGTGTGGCAAGAAAGACAAGAAACAGATGTGGGAAAAAGTAGGTGAGATCTGCGCCAGGCTTTTCCAGTTTGGATTTCTTTGAAGTGCAGTGGAAGCCACTGGTAATTTTACAGCTGTGGAGACCCAGAACTTGATTTATGTTTTCATGAGATCACCTTGGTTGCCATGTGGGCAATAAATATTTACCGAGTGCCAGTGAGTTTGCAGGCGTGCTCATAAACCATCTCATTGAATTGTCCCTGAATTCTAGATGAGATTGAAGCAAACATCTCTCTTTTTTTCTGGCTTCCCAGCATCTGATTCCCCTTCCAGTGGCTGGGGAACATCCCACCTTCTGATCCTTGGGGAGAAACAGAGTGTTCCCTTTCCCCAGCCTCCCTGCAGGTAAGGCGCTGGTCCATGACCCAGGCTCAGCCAATCAGATATATCTTCCTGACTTTGAATTGGGAGCTAGAGATAATAGAAGCGTGGACCATGGACAGTCCTTTCTGGCAAGGGTAGGGTGGAGTGCAGTCAGTTTTCAGAGGCAGTGGTGCCAATGGCTGGGTCCAACAGAGCTGTGGGCTAGGGCTGGTGGTGCAGGCTTTGGCACCTGTTGGTCAGGTTGGGGAGCAATGTCCTCATCACATCAGGTCTCTAGCATGATCTTGGCTGTGGCTCTGGCTGCATGCACCCCTTGCCTGTTTCTCCAGCCTTTAAGAGGATCACGAACTACCTGAAATCCTTCCACTGTGTTCCTTTTCAAGTTACAAGTTGTCTATTGCTGCATAACCAATAGCCTGAAACTTGGCAACTGAAGACAGAAAACAATAAACAATAAACTGTGTTTATTATCACACAGTTTCTGATGGGTCAGGAAAGCCACAACCCTTTATAAATTAATCTCAGAAGTGGCATGCCATCACTACTGCCATATTCTGTGGTCGCACAGGCCAACCCTGGTCGGTGTGGGAGGGGACTACACGAGGTTGCAGCCACCAGGAGGAGGGATCCTTGGTGGCCACCTTGGAGGCTGGTGACCAAAATCAGCGACAGCAATTTCTATTGCTTGCAACATTAAAACCAAGACATTATGGAACTTGTAGATGATCACACCATTATTCATCAACATTTCTTAATAGTGTGTCTAGCCAGGGGAATAGGCAAA